CAGCCAGGCCGAGGAGGCTGCTCTTGCCAATGCACGGCCTGCCTCCTGACTGCCTGAAGGGCCAGCCAGGCCGAGGAGGCTGCTCTTGCCAATGCCGAAGTGTGCCAGGGGCTGGCGCTGCAGCATCTCCTGAGGCTGGCGTGGATACAGGCTAAGAATAGCCTGTTCCCGAAACCCTGGTTTGGTGCCTGAGTTTCAGGGCCGGTCGTTCTGGTGAGCGACCGAAAATAGCCCTTCGTTTCAGGCTAAAAAGGCTCTTGCCATTTTTAGTTTCAAACGACACAGGGACTGTAGGCCCCTGTTTTCAGGCTGAATTCTAGGCTTTTTGGCTGAAGGGCGCAGGGCCTGGAAAATGGCCTGTGTGTGCAGGCGCAGCATGTAACAGAGAAGAGAGTAGATAGTAGAGTAGAGAGTAGCGTGTAGAGGACAGTAGAGTGGAGAGTGGCGAGTAGAGTATACTAAAGCAGAGTAAAGACAGTGCAGTAGGGAGTAGAGTAAAGCAGAGTATAGAGAGTAGAGTAGCATAGCGTTGAGTAGAGTACAGTGGGGTAGAGTAGAGTGCAGGGACTAGAGAGCAGTGCAGAGTAGAGTAGGGACTAGAGAGTAGAGAAGAGTAGAGACTGGAGAAAACAGTAGTAATAGATGCAGGCGGCCACAATAATGGAATATTCTGAAGCACCCATTTCTGAAAGAATTTTAACTGATTGTGCTACTGTCGAACGCTTCTGACCAATTCCGACATACACGCAACACGGCTTTTCTTTCTGAGAGGCTCAAGTACTATAATACAGTACTGAGTACAGAGTAGACAGAAGAGAGTAGACAGTAGATAGACTATAGAGTACAGCAAGAAGTAGAGAGTAGACAGAAGAGAGTAGAGAGTAGATTAGAGTATCGAGTAAAATAGAGTAGAAAGTAGAGAGTAGAGTGGAGAGTAGAGAAGAGTGAAGAATAGAGAGCAGAGAGTAGAGTGGACAGTACAGTAGAGTGGAGAGTACAGTAGAGTAGAGAGTAGAGTAGAGAGTAGAGTAGAGAGTAGAGTAGAGAGTAGAGAGTAGAGAGTAGAGAGTAGAGAGTACAGAGTACAGAGTAGAGAGTAGAGTAGACTAGAGTTCAGGAGCAACAGAAGCAAAGCAGTTCAGGAGCAAAGGGAGCAAAGCAGTTCAGGAGGAGGTGGAGAGAGGTACCTGGCATAAGAAGAGTAGAGGAGGGAAGAAAGAATTCAAAGTAGAAAGAGTGGTTATCATTAAACACAATCAATCCATACAAAAGCTGAGAAGTTGCTAAATTGCATCATACTTAGGGCGTACAGAAAACCCCTGCGACTGTTGAAGAATTGCAGCCAATGTGGACTGTTAAGTGGTGATTCACGCAATGTCGCCCGAGTAGAAATCATGTTGCAACGTAAACATCTCTGGAAGGCTACATAGATGAGGATGGACATTCAACTTTTACCTGTATCAGGCCTTTCTGAATAGGAGACATAAACCGCAAACGGACAGTGGTGAACAGTAAAATACATGTTTAACAATAAGGGCCAGTGCGGCTTCACCCGCATGACATCGTAGGTCAGAGCCTGATTACGTTACTCTAACACACGAGGACACTGAAATGACACGAAAATGCATACTTATGTATAGTTATGCATCCAAGAAAAAAGGCATCACATAATTCCCTTTATCCAATCATGCACGCAACCACAGAGAGAGAGAGAGAGAGAGAGAGAGAGAGAGAGAGAGAGAGAGAGAGAGAGAGAGAATTGATGTACTGTAACCTCTTCGTTGCTGCAAGGACCTAACCTCTTAACTGGCAACTCAGTGGAAATCAGGAGTTGCTTTGCTATTTCGCATCCTGCGAATTTGAGGCCCTGCATTGTCTGGTATTCATGAGGTCAGAGGTTCTTAACGGCAATAATTATAGCCATCAAGACAGGTTTTCACGGTCTTTGTCACTCCATAAGAAGACCAAAGCCAAAGAAAAAAATCACAGTGACATTCATATTCTCAACTCTAAAAATCTGATGGCAAATGTGTGTATAAGAGAGAATCTATGAATCTGTTGCGATCCAAAGACATCAAGTATTTCATCATTCCCCACTAGAACGGATGGCCACCCCTCAGCCACCTTCCAAGTTCCCTATAAATTCAGAATTCCAGAAAGCAGGGGCAAACCATCATCTCTCCACCTCTTTTCAGTTGTTCCTCGCGCAGCACGTTGCACCTAGTAGCAACAGTGTATACACAAGTTGGACAAAAACAAATGATAAGCAACTTACCAAGGTTCACATGAACATCATCATCCACTTTGACATAGAAATTAGCATCCCACAATGCAAAAGCAGTGGAGAAGTAAATTTTTGTCTTAGCAGAAAGCTCATGGTATCCCTCCAGATGTTCCTGAAAATCTCATTCAACAAGAATAGAGACCACAACAGCAAAAACAAAAGACCACCCCCCCCAAAAAAAACAAAAACAAAAACAAAAACAGGAATAGTCAGACGGATCTTCCCTCCATCATGTTTGTTCATGAGACACAGCTATTGACTCTACAAGTACGAGACAGCAACCGGCCTTGAAAACATCAATGGGAAATTAGCAGCAGATGTAAGCCCACAACGACAATTGAACACCTCATCTAAACAGCCCCCCCAGTTCTAACATTTCAACTGGGGGGCCGGGGGGGGATGCTTGGACGAGCAACCTGCCTTGAAAACATCAATGGGAAGCAGTGATCAGAGATGTTTGGAGCAGTGAGCATTTAGTTAAGCAGTTTGTCGTGTGAATAATCGGCCTCTCATAGACACGGAGTCGTGCAGAGCTGATCCATCACGTGCCACAGACTTATGCAACAACGGAAGCCGATTCAGGTTGTCCAACGGCCTGTAGGAGGAGAACAAGTTTTCAGGGCCAACCTCAGGTGAATTCAACATCTTTGCCGTACAGCACTCTGAACAAGAATGGCAACTCGGAGGGCTCTCTAAGTTTTGTTTAGACCAAAAAAAAAATAAAAAAAAAAATGGGAAACAGATTTGTGCAATGCCCTTCAAGGAGACCGACAACGAGGTGTCCGACAAGGAGGACGACAACGAGGTGTCCGACAAGGAGGACAACAACGAGATGTCCGACAAGGAGGACGACAACGAGGTGTCCGACAAGGAAGATGACAACGAGGAGTCCGACAAGGAGGACGACAACGAGGTGTCCGGCAAGGATAACAACAACGAGGTGTCCGACAAGGAAGACGACAACGACGTGTCCGACAAGGAGGACGACAGCGAGGTGTGAATACGAAGCAGGGAACTAACAACTAGAGCTTGATGGATCAGAAGAGCATTACGACAAGGAGGAGGGCCGCAGGGAGGGGCAGAGAAGGGAGGTGAAGAGGAGGCTACAGACATATATCAGAACTCATCTCGGATAATTTACAGAAAAGCTGGATGACGAAGTTCTTAAAACTTCATCCGTCACGCCCACCAGAACATTTAAAATCACAGAGTACGGGCAAATTCCCCCAAATCTAAGTTGACCAAAGCTCGCAGATGAATCTGTGAAGATGCGTGAAGAGACCCAGACGGTATGAGCGAGAAAGAGAACAGAGGGCAACCATGCGAGCTCACCAATCTCATGAAATCCTTATGTACTGCATTCTCTGCCTCAATAGCTCGGTCAAGAAGGGTACCCGCCCCCGTGCTGCGCATTCACAAAACGATCAAACGAAAGGAGAGCCAAAAGCACACACAAACAAGCATATCAAAATGGAGGATGAACTGCTCCCGAAAAGACAACACACAAGCTCCGTGAACTACCAAGTCCATGGTTAGCTTCAATTTCATCGAGGAATGACATGTTTTCAAATTCCTAATGAAGAGCACCCAAACAAAAGCACAAAGCCGGGAAAGGGTCAGGACAACTGGGTCATGCCTAACTACCATAGCAAACACAAGAAGAGAGCATTTCCATTATTTCCAAACCCATGCAGAATCTTACAGAGGCATCCACAACAGCAGCGTAATAGGAGAAACGAAGAAAGATGCGCGCCCCTAATACTGTAGAATCGAACAGGTTTTCAACCCAGGATCTGATTACTATCATCAGTTCCACGTGCCTACCCGTCAGCCACCACATAAGTTCGGCAATTAGTAAAGACCACAGTAACCACTATTGATATTGATATCCATCTGATGCTAACACTGGATCAATCCCAACCAATTCAGAAGACAAGTCTCAAAGACAAAGCTGCTTTTCTCTGTGGGAGCACCTTACCAGAAATTAGTGTACTTCAGCAGGGGACAAGTGCAGAACATTTCCAGTCAGGGCCCTCAAATTGTAGAACAACCAAATGAAAAAGAAGGTTTCTGGTTTGCTTCTGACGTCGGCAGAAGTCCACTGGGCCTCTGCATACCAACGGGACTCTGCCCAGTTATACGTCCCAGGGACACTCATCCATTATTGTGTGCAGATGGGTCCCAATCAACAGAGGAATGGCAGCGGTCTCCCTGCTATAACTCTATACTGTGTAGATGATGCCATGCAACGCTGCTCTGTCTCTGAAGACCAATGGGACTCTCCAGCTAACACATCCCGGAGACAGTCATCCATCATTGCGTGCACATGGATCCCAATCAAGAGGAATGGTGGCTGTCTCCCTCATGTACCTCTATACTGTGTAGATAATGCCAGGATATACTCCTCTGTCTGCAGAGGCATTAGGATCACCGCAGACAGCAGGCTTGCCTGTACGACATCAGCATGGTATTGGCAGTACACTTATCCACTAACCCAACGTTTCAGGTCAAAGAAAATCATATCATTTTTCAAACAGAACCAGCAAATGCAACTGTTTACAGCTTGCCATGCACAGAATGCTGTCACACGGGTTGTGCGTTCACACTCGGACAACACACACACGGGTACCGTTCTCACACTCAGCGAACATAAGCGAACTACACGAGTCAGAACATCAAAATCCCAGCCGAAAACGAAAAGAACAAAGGCAGAAGTACACAACATACCAAGCATACGAGGAAGCATATGCTTGAAACCACTTTCATTTTCCCAAAATGAGCCACCCACCTGTGCCCTATGACAAAACGAACCACAACGCCCTTTTCTCTTTCAAGCCTCTCCCTATCCTCTCCTGAACATCAGAGGACGCAATCGGAAACAGCAGCAGCAGGTCAACCATGTGAGTCAGCTGATCAAGAAAATGAATCAACATCTGGAAGAAGATCACTCCCACGGTCACTGCCCCTGATGCTGACCGGCGCCTGCAGTGGTTCAATTGCCACAGCCGCGGGAAGGGTTGGCATACTCGTCAAAAAAGGGCCCCGTGGCAGAGTGTGCAATTTGCGCCCAATTTGGCAACTTTTATGCTTATCCTTTTTCCAAAAAAAATATGAAACAAACATGGAGAGATTAAGTGCGAATCTGCTATGTGCAAGGATTCACGCAATGAGAATACCAGTTTTCCAAAATGCAAAACTCGTAGAAGAACAAGCACGGTTAAGCCGAGTTGAAAGCAGAATACCAAAAAGCTGATAGCACACCGATAAGGAGCAAACAAATCACTGAAAATCTGTTGACAAAGAAAGCCCAACTTCGGCTCCAATCATCAATGCAACAACAATGAAGTACCCCTACTACTGTGATGTGACCGCTCTGACCGCTCTACTCTACTTCCGAATCATCCTCTACTCACACTAGCCTACTACACCACACTCTCTGTCCACGTGTCACTCGACGAATGCTGCTCGACGACTCTGCTCACACAGGGTTCCTCCACAGAGCACCAGGTGAGAACCGCCAGTCCCCACTGCCTTCCTTCCTTTCCTGAGCCAAGCAAAGGAAAAGAATAGAACAGAAGGAAAGAAAAGAGAAGCTCCTCCGACACCACGATCAATGACCAAAATGAAAGGAGTTTTCAACTTCAATATCAGACACCTCCCATGCTCTGACATTGTCAAGGGTACTAAAAACAAAACAATGCAAGCACCACGTGTCCTCAAAAGAACACAAAGCAAGCACCATGCGTCTGTGTGTGCCAGGTTGACGTGTTTGCAAAGCACGGCGAACTAGCCCGCGAAACTTTTGTTTTCGGTTGCTGATCGCGGAATCGGATGGATGCGCTCTCCCACAGACGCCCAGGGCTTATAAACAGTTTTTTTTTGTATTGGTTACTGAGTTGATGTTAACTCTGGTTCATTAGCAATACGAGCTGATGCCACTTTGCATTTCAGGGTCCAGTAATACAAGCTGATGACCTTTGTCCTGGCTCATTAGTAAAGACACAGCAATACGAGCCGATGAAGGATATCACGAGTCTCTGTCTGGTCCCATTCCCCGCCCCAGGGTTCCAATGTCCCATGTACCATAAGTCCCAGTTCGGTAGCTAGGGAGGTCGATGTCAGTCCTGTAGAGTTCAGCCCGGTAGGTTATTGGGTCCAGCCCAGTACAGTACAGTCAGCAGTCCAGACTCTTACGAAAGTCAGTGAACATTCTGGACACATCGCATGCCGAAGGACAGCCAAGAAAATCCAACGAAGGGAAACTGAAGCATCTAATCCAAAAGCACAGCAGCAGTGGGCACCAACATCTTTTCCACTCACATTCGTTGAGGAAGCACTGCTGCTGTCTTTTGCAACCAGGCGACGAGCAAGGCTGTAGTGAAGTGCGCATGTAGCTGTGGTCGACAGGGCTGGGCGCCATAGCTGCTGGGGTAGCTGAGTGAGAAGACATTCACAGAGAGAATGAGAGAGAGAGAGAGTAAGGCCTGAGGGACGAGAGGTAGGGACAGAGCGACTTCATCCCTGGTGAATGTTGCTGGCAACCATAGCCACCCAGCTTGTGTGAACATAAGACTTTTATTTCCAACAATTTTCAGAGTACTCTTATTCTTGTCTGATTTCCAACTCTTGTGTGATGAAGTGTGCTCTCTCTTTGTATTTGGGATGAAGTGTGCTCTCCGAAGTTTTGGGCTCATTTCATGTGGGCTGATCACCTTATAATCAACGTTTGGGCTCATTTCATGTGAGCTGATCAACTTATAATACTTCGAATTACGAAGTACCATAGGTTGACCCATCCAATGTCAACCAAATAAATAGATGCAGCATGGCCAGGCCCTCACCCGACCAATGAAGCTTGAATTACAGCTTGTGAGGCACTTGCCTTAGCTTCGAATCCAAAAAATTTGTTCACCAGTTATACATTCGAAGACACTCCTGCTCCCCCGGTCCAGAACGAAAATCACTAGAATTCCCATTGCATGTGTGCGAACGGATAAGCGGCACCAGCCTTACCCTTCGGGAACCATGTGTTCCGCAGAGAATCACGACGCTGTCTACTGCTAAAGGCTGTGTTGACTCCCACCACCATAAAGACTTTCGGCCTTTCAGCAGCCATTCCAGGACTGCTTTCCTCAGCTTGGTTCAATCCTGCAGGTTCCTGTGCAATCCTCGCTGCGGCGAGCTGTGCTTCCAAGGAGGTTATTCTCTTCTGTAGAGACCTGCAGTACACGAAACAGATGGTTGACATCTTATTAGAACAATGGATTTCCAATGAAAGGGTACATCAAGCAAAACCAGCGCACATCATGGTTGGTGCTGTTCCTTTCTTTCCAAAAAGGCAAGAGGAGAAATCCATTTTTTACATCATTTCAATCCAACAGTTATTAGACGTCTGGAAGCTTCATCAAATTTCAAACCATGACTTCAAGCACAATACGACCTCAAAACAATAGAAATTCCCATCCACCAAGGCACTGCTACATCAATTTCGGCTGAGAATAAAGACCACTGATGTCATTAATAGCATAAGATAAGATGCTTACCGTCCACTGTCACATAGACAAACAGATATACTAAGAGAACCCCTACAGCTATTCTCGCTCCACTATCAACGGCCAAACGCCAATTTTCTTTTGTGGCTGATTGCTTTGTGACGAATAATTGTCGTTGCTCCCATCATCAACTCTCTCCCTCAACCTCCTGTCACACCATAGCTGCCATAATCTATGTCTGAATTTCAGTTGAATTTCGAACAATGTATGTGAATTTCCAGCTGGTGTCCACCGGAAACGAGCCACAGCACGGCTGCACAAGAACCCCTGGAAGCCAGCACCATCAATGGCAACCTACTGTAGTGCAAGAGCTACTACAACCTTTGGGCAAGGGCTGGGGTCCTCCTCATCAAGGAGACGAACCATTCGACATCACCATGCTACATGTAGTAGCAGCCAGGGCAGTGATGCATTCCCAGAATGATATGGTGGTCAATGCAAGTCCAAACGATTACCAACACGAGGAAGCTATGGACTGTCGCACAAGGGAATACTGAAAACATAGAACTGACTAACATGCAGCACAAATGATAATGAGACTCAGATCCGTCCTCACACTTTTAGAGGATCCAGAAATAGAAGAGGCCTCCCCACTGCTACCATACACAGACAACGTATCAGGAAGGACAAGAACGAGATGAATAAGAAGACCCAAAACCAGATTATACTACTATAATAGTCTCTCCTCCACGTCACTCCATCCAACAGGGAATCTCTCTCTCTCTCTCTCTCTCTCTCTCTCTCTCTCTCTCTCTCTCTCTCTCTCTCTCTCTCTCTCTCTCTCNCCCTCCCTATCGCCTGTACACATTCGTTATCAAGGTGTGTTGTATTCAGGGAGAAGACAGTTAGCCCACCAGCTACTGTCGAACACAACATACGCTGCTCACGAATATAAACAATCTTTCTGATCCGGCACAACCATAATCAGAGTGCCCTGTGTTCAAGGAAAATAGTAATGGGGCTGTCTCTTATACACATCTAGATGTGTATAAGATCTCTCTCTCTCTCTCTCTCTCTCTCTCTATCTATCTATCTATCTATCTATCTATCTATCTACCGATCTATCTATCTGTGTGTGTGAGTGTGTGAGTGTGTGAGTGTGTGTGTGTGTTTGTGTTTGTGATGTTGCGAATGTACTAACCAGTGAAAGATGAAGTCTCTTGCACTGTGTGCAGGGCTAAAACTAAGCCCGGGTGTAGGCTGTGATGCTATGGCGCCCAGGTAAGTGTGTCCAACGCTGCGCTGCTCCTGAAGAGCTTCCCCCTCTCGCTGCTCTGCCTCCTACTTCACTAACACTACTCTAATTTCATACTAATAGCACTGCTCCCAGCACCATGTCGCCTGAAGTCCTCTTAACTCCGCATGTACAAACTGAGGCTGAGCCCAGTTATATACCTGCTAGGCCGTCTCCATCTAACCATCGATCGGTGGTTTAGGATGAAGACTGAAAATCCCATACAGTTCGCTGGACCAGAAAAGGGCTGCCTGGATCCCCGATTGGTGTCCAGGCCACAGTGCTCACGCAGCAAGGAGTCCCTCAGAAGAGGACAAGGGCTGGACCTCGCCCTGCTGATGCAGCAGCGAATCTCTCAGAAGAGGACAAGGGCTGGCCCTCCAACAAGACAAAACTCGTCCAGCCCACCCAAACCAAAAGTCGGCAGAGCCTGAAGCTCAGTCGCTGGGCCTGAACGGACCGTACAAAACCTGGACCAGACAAAACTACTCTGAAATATAATAGGAATCCTAGAAGATAAATAAAAGCCCTCCGAAAACACCACAAAATTGTCCGAGGCCCTAGGGCTGCCCGAAATGTCGATCATGGGACCTAGGCCCAGTAGGCCAATCAGTCCCGTAGCGACTGTGTAGTGTGGCCTTGCATGC